TGAATAATAGAGGAGTAAAAGGGGCTGAACCGATTTGTGTTTGCCTATTTATATAATGATAAGTCACTAAATACATTTTTGATATAGTTTTACTTTAAAAATGGTTTTGTAATATTCAAACTTAATTATATATGAAAAAACACCGTAGGTGCATGAAAATGGTAAAAATCCTTTCATTTATAATATATATTTGATTTACATTGAGTGCACATTTTTTCTATTTCAAAAAGGGAAAAATCATCAAAGGTCTCAATTATTTGAGTTTATGAACTATTGATGCCTTGTTGCTATAAACCGACGATATATTCTCCGGATGGTAAAATCGATTTTTTTTTTAAATTTGTTTAGTTCCTCAAGATAAGTCCTAGGTCCTTTATTCAGCTGACATCCCAACATCACCTAAGTCGATGAAACATGTTTCCTATCAGCTAATAACAATCCATCAATTGCATCCCAAACTCTTCAATCACACATCACAAGTCTAGAAGAATGGTGTAAAAATTGAATGATTAAAATAAATTCCAAATAAATTATCTGCGTCGTAAACCTATGACTTCCCGTTCAACAGTATCCTTAAACAATGCCTCATTTATCCCTGTTGAACAAATCGATACCTAGGACTCCACCTGCACAAACGTCAAACTTGGAATCCTCATACCGAACTGAAACGACAAGAAACAGCTCGACGTTTCCGACTTACTTCAGCACTTACTAGACAAACGATCTAAGCTTTCAATCAGGGATGCCCATTTCTCTCCAAAACCTACTCCTTTCCTCCTCCCAAGATATTTTATTGCTCACCTTACTTAAAAACAGAGCAAGCTAAGAAAGAATTAGAAAAATACACCATACATAAGAAAGAATAGATCATACACAAATACACTTGCTGCTATCCTTTCCATGTGTTAACCTTGTCCATTAGTCAGAAAATGCATAACCCCGTTGAAATTTGCCTTCCTCAAAAATTTAAAAATCCATCAAAATATGGCCCTTCAAAATTTTTTATGGCGCAACTTGCGCTATGAAACTCCATTTTGCGCACGCCTACTTGCAGTTAATATATTTACAAAAGACTCATATACATGACTATAATAAGGCCTATTTGGATATATGGAGTTGATCTTTGAGGATCTCTTAAACTACCGAATTCCTCTCGTATCCAATCCTTACAATCCAAAATCCTTCGTAAAATCCTCAATGCTCCTTGCATTGTTACAAATAAAATCATCCACAAATACGTTAATATCTACCTATCCTTCCATAATAAATTTCAGAACCATCCTAATCCTCTCGTTCTAACCTTCTTCCTCTTCGATCCGTAATTCGTCTGAAAAGAATATGGCTTCCTGGTCTTGTAATTTAGATGTTTTATTAGAGTGCTATCAGTGAGTAGATCCTCTACAAGACTTTTCATGTGATTGTATTTCTCTATATCACATTTACTGGATATTTGTATGTAGTGATCTCATGAACTATACATATATATATATATATATATATATATATATAAAATGGTTTATACCACTTTTATTTGAACATAAATTCAAAAAGATGTATAAAACAGAGAAAATATTTGTTGAAATATTTCCGGCGCTTTTATCTCTTTGGTTTGTTAACAATCAATTGCTGTTTGCGGTTTAGAGCTTAAATGGGGAAACTGTGGCCTCCAATAATTTGCCCGATCTTCATTAATCTAGCGCTAGAATTTATTAATATTTTATTATTTAGGTTACGAAAATTTGAAAATTAATAGAATTTAGGAGAATATATGTATATGGGTGTGTATTTTGCTTATAAATTAAAATAACAACAGTGAAATCTAAAAAATATATTGCGACCTCCATTATCAATTCCTAGCCTTACTACGACTTCTAATGATCAAATGATTTGCTGTTATACCGAAGCTTTGCGAGAAAATTTTACGTCCTCGATGTTCTGGAATGTATTTAAACACTTTATTTAATGAAAAATCTTGTATGGTGAACCCTTCTGCCACATATGTAACCCTTAGCTATCCCCAATCCTTAAAATGCCCTCGGGCAGTGGAAGGAATTTGTTACATGTATATATTGTATTATTGTATACTATATATGTAAATTATTTCAATAAACATTTTGGAAGGTAAGAAAAAAAAAAAAAAATGGTTACATAAGTTCTTATTATGTAATGATGTAAAATACCTAAGATTAGAATGGGATTAGTAAAATATTTGTTGAATACTTGATGGTTGACCGTGGTATATTATTGAGTGGTGGTCACAAAAAGACTAAAATAGTGGAAAAAACTATTTTATTTTAAGCCAACGTTTCGACCCCTCTTTGCAGGTCTGCTTCAGGACTAGAACGAACAAGATACAAAAGGATATAGAAAAAAGTAACATAATATTTAAATTAAAAATGTGAATAAGCCTATTAAAATTATAAACAGTGTGAATAACAGAAATATTAAGAACAAGAAACTATATGAATAGAGTAAACGAAGTATAACTAAGTAACAAGACCCTAAACTGAAGTAAATAAATGGTAACAATTGTTGTATATTATTGTAGATAATATACATTAATAATAATAATTATTGTATCCACAATAATATTCAACACTTATTACCATTTATTTACTTCAGTTTAGGGTCTTGTTACTAAGTTATATTTCGTTTATTCAGTTTATATAGTTTCTTGCTCTCTCTCTCTCTCTATATATATATATATATATATATATATATATATATATATATATATATATATTTATACATATATACATACGATATATATAAACGATATATATTTATACATATATACATACGATATATATAAACGATATATATATATATATATATATTTATATATATATATATATATATATATATATATATATATATATATATATATTTATATATATATATATATATATATATATCGTTTATATATATCGTATGTATATATGTATAAATATATATCGTTTTCTAATCTGTTATTATATTAGTCATACTTAATGCTGTGGATGTGCTTAATGTTATGTTTGAATGCAGTATGTATTTAAATGTATGAATGTTTGAATGTATTTAAACACTTTATTTAATAAAAAATCTTGTATGGTGAACACTTTTTTTTTTGTTATTTAACTAGTTTTTAACATAAGTTGTTATTATGTTATGATGTAAAATGCCTAACATTGGGATGGGATCAGTAAAATACTCAAGATCTAACATTGTTAATTATACCATTATATTTATTTATATAGGAATTTCCTCAGACAAATAAAAAAATAAAATAAACTAAACTATTTATTTGTATAGTTTCTTGTTCTCAATATTTCAATGTATTTTCTGTTCACACTGTTTATAATTTTAATAAGTTTATTCACATTCTTTATAATTTTTATCTAAATCTGATGTAACTTCCACATTTTTATATATCGTTTTGCATCGTAGCCCCAAATGAGACCAGAAAAATTGGGTCGAAACGTCGGCTTTAAATAAAATATTTTTTCTCACTATTTTCACTACCCCGGCGGACCTTCTCTTTACTTAAAACATTTTTTGTACAAGAGGGGGTTTGCCGACTACATAAATTTTAAAAGAGGTGCTAATATACTATATTATTTATTTTTAATTTTTTTTTTCAAGTTTATTTTTATTTAAAGTAATATCATTTGATCCAAGCCCAGGTTTCATCCTTTCTGGAATAAGAACTAATGCTTTCCAATCCTGTTTTTATACTCCTTTTTTCTCACTCAATCTACATAATTACTTGCGACATCCACGTAACAATGGGCGAACATAAAATTATGATTCTCATCCTCACATTTCTCAACAGACAATTAAAAGAGAGCACAGCCAGCTTCCATAAAGTGGTAACTTTTCATTAAATAATTAATTAAGGAGGAAAACCTGGCGTTAAGTGTGATCTCGGCCCAATCACCTCCCTGCACAACCGTTAGGTCTTGTAACGGTACTTCCTCACTTACATCCGAAGACCCTTCATGGGATTTTAGTGGTACAGGTTTTTTCTCTCTCTATTGATTCATGTCATGTACCATACGTTCAGTTGGCGATGAGCTTCGGTCTTCCGATCAGACACTCTAACGACAAGACCTTGTAACAAGAAAAACGAATGATTTTAAAATGCTCATCGATCTTTCACATAGTAAATATTCCTATCAAATCTTTGCCTCAGATCTAACATTACTCCATTTCGACATTCTAGATAGAACATTGACTGTCTGGGATTAGATTTCTAGACATTAATTCGAGTGGTTGTAGACATTGGGCAAGAGTGGGGCGATGTTGGAGGATAGATATTGTTATCAACCCTAAAATCACCATTGATAAACCATTCCTCTACAATTCTATACAAATTCTGTTAGCCAATAAAAAGTATAAGTTCCTTTTAAATCGATGAAAATCTAATGATTTTCATGAAAATGACAGATTATTAAACGGATGAGTTAGTTTCAATATTTTAACAAGTTAGAGAGAGAGAGCGGGGTAGCTCAGTGAGTAAGGCATTGTGCTCCTATTCTCCGAGTCCCGTATTCTTTTCTGGCTGTGATAGGTAGCTAATTATTTATTCGGTCTTGGTTCGTCTATGGGATCGAGAGATCCTCTCAGGTTATGCAGCCAACTTAAGTAAAGTGGATGCTCTTAATTAATTAATTAATGATCTCCCAAGTTATTAAAATATTATTTTATATTCTTATAAATTGCGAAAGTTGTTATTCTTGCAAAGGCTAATGGCGAAATATTGTTCAAAAAACAGCAAAAAGTCTCACTGAGATTATTTTTTAAAAATTTCTTTGGAGACTGCTTCGAATTTCTACTTGCTTCAACTGCTTTTTTTGGTCTCTATAATAGTTTTATTAAATTCTTATTTAGATGAATATTAATAGGATACTTTATGCTTTGAAATTATTTTTTCAAACTCAATTGAATATTTGATAATTATCACTGAACTGGATTTTTATATTTTCAATATTATTAACAAATTTAAATTTTGTTTCTAGGCCTCATCAATTAATGAAAATAGCAAGTTATGGATTGGCTGATGATGAATTCCCAAATGCAAGGAACCTTTCCTGGCTTAGGCTCAAAAGTTGGAGAAGTCTACGTGCCCAGTGATGACTGTCTTGGTAATTTATATTCAATATTATTATATTATTAATATTAATATATTAACTATAAAATGAGTTTATAATACTGATTAAGTGCTATGATATTTTTTCATATTATGAATTATATTATAATTAATATTTGTTCATGCCTCAATATATTTGAGCTGCAATAGAAAACTTGAAATAGTAGTGCGTCTGAGAGATGTAGTGAGGACTGGGGGTGTAGCATAAGTCCCCGTAGTGTGACACATACCGCTGTCAGACATGATACGTTTAAACCACTGTCTCCTCTAATTATAAAAATGAATTTATTTCATTATCCACTTACAATTAGTGTGAAAACTTTTGCTAATAGGCAATGAAAATCTCGTAACTACATTTCAGTCAATTTTAAAATGGAAAAATAAGAATTTTGATAACTAATAGTAGTACAATCTATAATCATTTATTGGTTCAATATAGTTTCAAATCTTTCAAGGTATATATAGCTCAGAGACTGGAGTAAACTCAATTTGCCCAAATTCGTTAGTTAGAACTTTCTCAAACTAAGGCCACGAAACGTCATAGAAATCTATTTAGAATGCAAATAAATTAGCATTTCGCTGAATCTATGGGTAAATGGAAAGAATGATTGGTTGAATGGAAATTTCTGGGAAAAAGCTGAGTATGTAAAAGATGGACATTGAAATGATTTTTATCTTCTGCTTTAAACAATATTATGTATATATTTAAACAGCATTCTGTAAAACGTATTTACAAATCATTTAAACTGACTAAAACTTATCAATATATAAAAAATAAAAAAAGGAATGATACATAAAAAAGTCTTCCAAACGTTTATAGTTATCAGACTGACCACTCAACTTGAAACAGAAATACATGTTGAATAAGACTTATATTTATATATTAAAAAATTGCAATGAATAAACATAAATAAATTTATTCATACAAATGACCGTATTATTAACGCATGGATGTTTCTCAATGCATAATATACATCACTGATTATATCTTGAAGCGGTTGCATTTGCATTTAGGATCGGGTTTTGAACCGGGTGGAATTAGATTTTTTTTTTAAATATCTAGATATTACTAAACATCTGAATAAGCAATTGATAACCATATCATAGAAAATTTAAATATGTGAACATTGTTACAAAGCAAAAATTGACAAAACAAGAGAGATATGTATTACTAATACTTTTCAAATACTTATATGAAATTTACATGAAGTCTTTTGAAAAAAAACAATCGTGTATTTGAATAGTAATGACTTCGTATCAAAGACGAGCAGCTGTTATTTTTAGAAAGTCGATAAAATATCAATTTTTGTTTTATAGAATTATTTTTGTTCAACTCAGACTGTTTCTGAAGATTTTATTTAATAATATTCAATTTGAATCATGAAACAAAATTATTACACTACTAAGTTTAGATCTCGAAAAGTGGTTTGAGAACTGGAAAACAAAAATAAATAGTAATAAATCCACCCACGTTAGTTTCTCTCTTAGGAAAGCCTCATGTCCACCCATAACGATTGCCAATAACCCAGTGCCTTCAAAGAACTATGTACGGTGCCTTGGACTCTACTTAGACAAAAAACTTAATTGGAACATACATACGAAATTAAAAAGACAAGAACTTACTAGACGATATAGCCAACTTTCACATCTTCTGGACTACAGATCTTCACTTAACTTACGAAACAAGCGACTGATCTACAACACCTTACTGAGACCAATATGGACATATGGAGCAGAACTTTGGGGTTCTGCAAAACAAACACACATAAACAAAATACAAACAGCACAATAAAAAATTTTACGAAAAATTGTTAACGCACCTTGGTACATTTCAAATACTACTATACATAACGACTTAAACACCCCAACAGTAAAATCCTACATCCACGACAAATACACTACATTTCATTCTTCAACCCAAAATCACTCCAATCCTCTGGTTCTTTCTATCTCCTGCTCCCTGTTACCTGAACAACGCAGATTAAGAAGAAAATGGCCAAGAGACCTACTACATCAATAAAAACCAAATCAAGAAAAAACACCAAGACTGTACAAACACAACAAATTTGCTAGATGCGCAGCCGCGCAGGTGCAAATTGCATAAAATATAAATAAATAAATATGTTTAAATTGAAGCTATCTTAGAAAAATTGAGTTTTTCTCGTCTTTTTAGAAATAGATGTCCGTCATAGATATGAGGTCACTCTTATTTAAATATATTTTTGAAATATTTTTATTTATAAGATACATATTTTCGGTCAAGATAAATTTGCTGTCTACAATAGCAATGAAGAAATATGATAATAAGGGATATATATATATATATATATATATATATATATATATATATATATATATATATGACCATGGCCATTTTCTTTGCCATTTTCACAAGGAGGACAGAACTGTAAAAGATGAAACTAGAAAATTAATTTTACTAAGGAGTGTAGAAGAATTGATAATTCCATTAATTAATTTAAAGAGGATGAAGCTTGGAAAGCTGTGATGGGCTGGCCACGTGGCAAGGATGGAGAATGAAGCAATCTCCAGGATGATCCTGATAGAACATCTGTACGGCGCAAGAAGAAGAGGGAGACCAAAACTAAGATGGTCATACGGTGTGGCAAGAGATTCAAGGGATGTCCTGGGAATCGGGATCTGGATGATGACCGCACAGAACAGAGATGACTGGAGGAAGCTGGAAGAGGAGGCCAAGACACGTCACCGAGTTGTAGCGCCACGATAGTCAGTTTTAATTTAAAGAGGAATATCAACAACGGTTTTGTAAGGAGGTGATTTGACTGAGATCTCGCTCAACCGACAGTTTTTCTCCCTCAATTAATTATCAATTTTGTAGAGGCTGAGTGTGCCCCAGGAGGGTCACTCCGGACCCCACGGTTGATGAAACAGAATATATAACTTTTCTGTCATGAGCCGGGATTCGAACCCAGAACCTTAAACTTTGGAAGAACAGTGCTCTACAACTGATCTACACCACTCCCAAAGTAGGGAGCAATGAGGATTTTACGAAAGATTTTGGATTGTTAGGATTGGATACGAGTAGAATTCGATGGCTTAGTGGAGCCTCAGAGCTCAACTCCGTAAGTCCGAATAGGCCTTATGTATATAAGTCTTTTGTAATTAACTGAAAGCTTAGAGCGTTAGTCTAGTAAGTGCTGTAGTAGTCGGAAACGTCGACCGGTTTCGTGTAGTTTCAGTCTGCTATGAGAATTCAAAGTTAGACGTTTGTCTAAGTGGTGTCCTAAGTATCGTATTTGTTCCACAGGGATAAGTGGGGTATTGTTTTTTTTTGTTTTTTTTCATTTATATTTTTTTTCATTTATATCTTATGTAGGTTTTTATGAGATTTTTCCTACTGTAAAAAATTAATTTCAATTTTCTAAGCAGAATTCAAACCACTGTTATGTCAAGTGTAAGGTTACTACAACCATAAACTTGTAACTTATCTGTATGACATGTTGTAATATGTAAAAAAAAATAAAAAAATAAATAAATAAAATAAAAAAAAGTGGGGTATTGTTAAAGGATACTGTAGGACAGGAGGACATAGGTTTACGACAAAGGGCAAAGGTGATTTGATGGGATTTATTGTAATTCTTCACTTTTCACCATTCTTCAAGGTTTGTGATGTGTGATTGAAGAGTTTGGGATGCAATTGTTGGTTCATTATTAACTGATACGACACATGTATTATCGGCATACGTGGTAATGACAGTGTTAGAATGGGTTGGGATGTCAGCAGTATAGACTTTGTAAAGGACCTAGGATACTACCTTGAGGAACACCAGCGGACTGGGAAAAAAGGGATGAATGAGTGAAATTTAAAACCACAATTTTAAGTGTATGGTATTTAAGTTGTACTCTTAGGGGTGGCCCCACTTTTATTGTTTATGGCCCCCACTTGGCTTGATCAGCCTCTGTTGGCGAAAGCTTAGAAACATTTCTGAAGCGACTGGATTTAATTCTTGATTCAAAACACATTATTTCTGATCACCAATTCTGAATTTGAAATTCTCTCTCTCGAATTCAGTTGTTTAATCGTCTGGAACCTGTTGTATTTAAATGAGTCCACAGCGTAGTATGTTTCGTTCTATATAATTCTTCTCGGCTCAAATAACAATAATCAACAATATTTCTTCTTTTTGGTCCCTCTACTGAAATAAAAACATAATAAAAAAAAAACTAAAATGTGTGAGCTTTAGACCACACGATGGAAGTGAAAACTTCAACAAGACGAGATTAATAATATGAAGTATAAATAATAGCTCATTATACAGAGAGGATGAAATGCTGAACAATTCTCTTGTTTACAGTATGCAGGTCCGATTTTTAGTTTTAGAGATATTTTAATCCATATACAAGAACACTCCAATTAGTCAACTCCAATCGACTATACTAGAGCGGTACACATCGGAAATCTGGCTCAATTTAATTCACTCTCTACAAAAAAAAGTGCAAAACGCGCCTAAAGACGTTTTCGCTTCAAAAATAAATAATAAAAAAATAAAATCATTCACAGAAGAGATCATACCTATATTCCCCTCATGTTTTGTTTCGGAAATCAGATACAATGTTCCTTGACTTGACTGAACTGATTAGAATTTTGTAATCAAATGAAATGAAATGAAAATATATTTTATTATTCTGGGACTCTTGTCCCTTTAGAACAAATTATAAGTACAGAATACATGTCTGTGTGGTCTTAAATAAATTAAATATTTACAATAATAGTTAATTGAAGGTAAAAATACATAAGAAGAGAGAGAAAAAGAAAAGCATACATATATAGAAGACAAACAAAAGAAACTAAAATAACATAAATAAACAGAAAAAGTTTCTGGGGGTACTTAGATAGTTCTCTGAGGAATATTTCGTAATCAATCGAATTGAGAAAGGAGCAATGTTTAAAGAGGAAACTGTGCGTGTCGAATAACAGCAGGGATGGAATTCTGGAGGGAGGTGGCTTGAATGGCA